CGTTTATCCTTATTCGACCGTAATTACACGTCGCGATAAAAAAAAAAACGCTTCCTATATTGTCAACCACAGAAGGTCACGCGTCCCGCTTGTGTTCCGTTACTTTTGTGAAATGGAATGCGCAAAAAATGGCTGATAAATAAAAAGGTTTGATTGATGACGCTTAATGTAGCGGGTAATTAGTTCTGCTTCGCCTGTTAGCCAAGCGAGATTGCACTTAAACGCGTTAAGGATTTAACCTTGCATCCCGACGGATATGTATACATACTCTCGATCTGTCTTCCTCTCTCGCGTACCTACTATTAACGATCGGTTTTTTTGCGGATCGAGTTTTAGCGATTTGTCATTATGCTCCGCTGAAAATCCCAGCGACATGAATAATCCCGCGGCAAATTCTAGTCAATCTCAAAATCAATTTGTTTTTCGCTGGGAACTAAAGGTATTTGGAAGTATAAAAATAATGCTCATAAAAGTAGGTTACAGTTAAATGGTAATCTGTCAAAAATTGTAATATTTAATAAGGAATTAAAGCGGCCCTAGACGCTCAATATCATTGTGCAATATAAAATATTATTCAATATTATTGATCGTTTGGAAGCTATATTGAGTTTCCAGACTGTTTGTTTACATCAATGTATTATACAAAATAATCACACAACAATATTAAGCGTCTAGAGGTCCCTTTAATTCTTTGAATATTGTAATTTTCAATGTGTAATAATATTAATCTTTTAGAAATGTATAAAGTTCTTCACAATAAATGAATGTCACGTTTGGTCCATTCGTTCGATTCCTTTTGTTTCCACTGGATAAACATTTCCCGCGAAAAACCGGATGTTTCTTGTCACTTCGATCGCAACCTCGCTTCGCGATCGTGTTACTTGACAAAGGTTAAGCTTTTCGTCTCGGCCTCTCTCGCTGAGATACGCATCCTGCCGAGGAGGAACATTAAATCTGGCGATACGCTTTTGACGTACCACACAGACGTCACGTATCGCACTCATGTGGAGTCACGGCTTCTTATAAATTCAGGGTGGCCGTGTATATAGAGCAGAAGTTTGTCTCACTCTCTTTCCGTCTCTCTTCCTCTTTCTCTCTCTTTCTCGCTCTTCTCGCCTCGCAGCTTGTATATTTACACATTCCGACGGAGCTCGACGTAACGCAGGACGCCCAGCGCCGCGACGCTTTTCGCGCTCGCGTCCCGTTGTATATTTCTTCAAGCACGCGCACGCGCCGCCGTGTATATCGCACGCACACGATTGGGAACGAGACACGCACTCGTCGGCGGTCACACGGCAGTGTGGTCGCCGCCACTCCGAATTCGATCGCGGGAACGACGTCGTTATTTTTCGCCCCGGGCCAACCGCAAAAATAAAGAATGTCAGGCGAATTGCCGGCGATCGCGCCGGCAGATATAATAGGCGCTGCCACAAAGTTTTTGTTCTTCCTGACAGAATCGATTCGGCGCTGTCATGGCATTCGACTGGTACCTCGATCTCAGAACTGTTTGTTAAGTATTCTTCGTTTTTTTTTGTAAGGTAAATAGTATCTAACGAAACGATACATAGTTTTGTATATAAGCATTTTGAAATTCTCATTGATTTAATAAAAAATAAAATATATGGGTCCAAATTGATCGATGAATCCGAGAAGATGAAGCAGTATTGAGAGAAAATTGTTTGGTATTTATGACTGATAATTGCATGGTAAAATGATTATGGTTAGGAGCTCCTTTTTTATAATTATTATTGCTCTGATGTTAATAATAATAATTATTATAGTTATACAATTTATACAAAAAATATATATAATTATTATTACTAACATTATAGCAACAATAACTATTAAAAAAAAGCTTCCAACCATAAACATTTTACCATGTAATTATAATCACAAATACCAAGCACTTTTCTCTCAGTGTAGCAGTATTGAATAGTTATCGAATAACGTAATAAATGAAAAGATATTTGCAGAATATTCCAATATTTTAGACAGAAAGGAACATCGTGTCGATTAACACAAATAATTCGTATTTTGCTGGATCGCGTTCGTGTGAACGAGAGATGCTTAAAAAAACGAATTTAATTTACGAGAGACACGCATGCATGTATATTGAGATAAGTGAAATTATTTTTCTATAAAAATATTAAACGATGCTCACGCGACACAAACGGTGGACGGTATTGAAACAACACACAGGCGAAGATAATTGAAAGCATATGGATGGAAAAGACAATGAATAATGCTCGTAACGTACCGCTACGTTACAAAGTGTAATTTTCTGATTTTTATTCTCGCTGATGGTAATTCAAACCTCACGTGGCGGCGACAGCTGTGACCGTCGCGTATACCGCGTATTATTTTCCCTTAGGAGATCGCATAGATTATCGTCTGATGAGGCGCGAGTAATGTCACACCGTTTCTCACCGTGTCTGCAAGTGCGCGACGACGTTTTTCCCGCGTTACTCTCCGCGATGACGCTCTCTCTCCCTCTCTCTCTCTCCTCTCCTCTCGTCTCGTCTCTCCGCGTAATTTAAACATTTTTACGTGCATTGTGATACCGCACGGGAATTCGCCACGCTGTTCTTTTGCACGCATTATCCATCTCTTCTCTCTCGTCGATCACGTCGGGCGACAAAATCCTGCATCGCAACGGTATCTCGCTCTATTGAAAGTTACGTAAATTGCCCGGCATGCAGTGCTAATTGAACGCATACAAGGTGCAGGATTCCACAATTTCATTCCGTTATCATAATTTCGTTGTGGCCCGCGAGAAACTCTTTACTTGTCAAACTTGAAAGTTCTCTGAAAGATGTCTTCGTTCCGCGAAGAGTTGATCTTTGCTCCTGTATCTATCGCGATGGACGAAATTTAAATTCGAAATTACAACCATCTTAATTCCCTCTTGCTTGTGACGTTTTTTCTTCATTTACATAAAAGAATAATTTTGTTAAAGTATCTAAAAATTTAGCTAGGTATAGACCTGAACATAATTTTGTTCGACTATCAAAATAATTTTGTAGGATGTTCAAACTAGTTGCTAGAATGTCAAAACATTTTGTAGCATTGCTTATTATGCTTGAAATTGCTATGTAATTATTTAGGTGGTTCAATAAAATTATTTTCAGATTTGTCATAATACACAAAAAGAATGATTTCGCTGAAGTACCTAAAAATTTAACTAGATACAGATCTGAAAAAAATTGTGTTGAATCAAAAGACACTCAAACTATTATTATTAAAGTATCAAAACTTTCTATAGCATTGCTCATCATACTTGAGATTCCTACATAATTATTGTTGATGGCCCAATAAAACTTTTCAGATCAGTATCTAGTTAAATTTTTAGATACATACTTCAGCAAATCATTCTTTCTATGTAATTATCACGAGTAGATCTCAGAATTGAAAGAAAAGAGGCAAAGCGTATGTTAGATACTCCGAGAGTCTTTACGTCACAATTTTCTACTTTACGCGTCCATCATTTCCAGCTGCTGTCGATCTTCGAGAGGTGACCTCTCGAAGGCCGAGGATGTTTTTCCCATAGATCCGCTATTTCACAAAGGATTCGATGATACCGCGCATCGTCGTTTTGCCATGATCGCGCCGTACACACGTGCGTGACGTTTGGGGGCAAAGTGGGGAGGACTGGAAAAAAAAAGGGTTCTGCGAAGCGCTTAAACGCGCCTCTCTCGTCTTTACGTGAAAGGACCCGGACGATCGTGTCTGAGAACGCAAGACTACCGTGCACCGTGGGACTCGAATTTTAATCCCGCACGCGAATGAGGCTCGTCGCTCCGACAACACTCGACCTTCCCTCCCATCCCTCCCGTCTCTCTCCTCGGTCACCTCCTCCAAATTCCGCGGCGTGGAATTTCGCCGTTCGGTGTGCTCCCGCGTGTCCGATGGGACGCGAAATGAGTGTGGGCGAGGTCGGTATATCGTGGCGAAAAAGGAGGTCTCACCGTGAGGAAGACTAAAGATGGGAAATCTTCATTACAGCCTACCTCGGAATATATGCTTGAGAATCTAATAATTGCAATCATTATATTTAATAGAATTAGGATTAATGTTGAAATTAGGAGAACTTTTCGTAAATAAAATTAATTAAAATTAGAAGAATTTCTTTCAACTCCCCTGGGCTCTTTTTCAATAAAAACTTAACATTCGACTTAACAATTAATCTGTAATTAAAAATTATCCTATAAGAGGTGTTCAAATCCCATCGTGATTTCTATGTTTCGAATTTGAACATTTTTACTTCGAACATTACATATCCAATTATTCTGCAAGAAAAAATATCCCGTTATCTAAGATTTTTTATTTAAAAATATATATATTTCTTTTAATAT